GCTAAGATTCTCACCTCTTTACTGTACTTAAAATATCCTGGTAGAGGCAACAGGAGCAGGTCCTGCACCTGTAAGGTGTTTTCAGACCCTCGGCAATAGCAGAGGTTCTGTAAACAGAGCACATTGGCACCTGCCTCATGTTTTCTCGTCTTAGCACAGCCCATGAACGAAGCTGCATCTTGAAAGCTGGCTCAGAGAAAAGGAAGCCTGGCCTCTGTATTTCGTCATAATTTTTTATGTTTCTTTACAGCAAAAGGAGCACAAGGCTAAGGCCAAAACTGCTTTCAGGTGAAACATACGGCCTGCAGGTGTGGGCAGAGTTTAGCCCATAATAACTGGAGGCAAAAGAAAGAAACAAGCAGCTTAAAAATGTGGTGTCAGCAAGAGAAAATAGACTCTGTGGGGCACTGGTTTTCTAAAGCCTTGTTCTGTAATCAACACAGCTCATTACTGTCGCCACGCACGATGTTGCAAATAGCATTTGGATGAACGCATTTTGTCTTCCCATCGTCCTCGCTAGTTTACAAATTGTCTGCCCAAATTGCTGAACCACGCATATTGTGTCAGAGGAAAGCAGCAGATACCCTTTGTCAGGGTGGACAGCCTGTGCCAAACTCTCAGTCAGTGATTTTCAACCTTCTGTTTAGACCCCTACAAATTCTCCTGTGGAGGTACAGGAGTCTGAATAGACGCCTCTTCCACCTGCCACAATAATCATATTGCTTTCCTTTCCCTCCCAGTCTACAGCATACACCCTGACTTTGAGGTCTGCAGACAAAGTTTTGGAAATCAGTCTCCCAGGCAATTTAATTTTGTGCACTTACAGTTTCACTTCGTTCTTTCTTAAAAAAAAAGTCACTTTCTCATAACATCTCAGTTCAGTCCTTAAATAGTACTGGTGTAACTACTGTTACAATCCATCCTGCAATCAAGGTTACAGAAGGAAGGGACCGCGTGTCTGAGATCAGCTAGCAGTGCGTGGCCACACATCACATTGCAAAGCAACATCACAAGTTCTGCCTCTCATCTGAATTCACTTTGGAGTCTCAACATGGGATTAAAGGTGGCTGGACCTCTGCACTTCTTATGTGGAATAGGTGTCTCAAAGTTACTGGAGGGAAAAAAGACGTTGTAAGCTGCAAGCTGTTGTCTAGACCTTGTTTTGAGGCGTGATGCAGGCTGAGGATACAGTCCCACAGGCTGACACTGCACTGTGCCTTCTAGAGATAAAAAAGGGTTATGGGCCATTTTTGCCCCATTCTGATTGCGGGCCTTCCAGTATAACGCCACCTGTATTAGAGCAGTCATTATGCAATAAATTAGATTAATCAGGAGTTGCATTGCTGTATACTTTTCTCATACTTTTCAACTGTTCAGCTGTATTCACTGTTCCATCCATTGGAGTTGTCAGGGGAAATGAAAACGGTCCCACATTGCTTCTTATGTTAGGAACATTCCCCTTGACTGTTGTGTCTCCTTTGTGCCATCCAGTAGCAAGTTTCACTTCAGTCTCACTGGAGGAGGAGGAAAATGAGAAATAGAATGGGATTATAAATTATATCCCCAAGGTAAAGGAAAAAGATAACTGAAAGGGGACTGACTTTAGGGTTTGAATACCTTTTATTTAATATGTACTTTTTTGGAAGTCAAGCACTGTCACAAGTTGCCCAGAGAAGGCTGTGGAGTCTCCATCTTTGGAGATATTCAAAACTCTGGACACAGTGCTGGGCAACCTGCTCTGTGTGGCCCTGCTTGAGCAGGGGGTTGGGACCAGATGACCTCTGGAGGTCCCTGCCAACCTCAGCCACTCTGTGAGTCTGTGGTTCTGTGATTTAGATATTTTCTTCCATTTTTCTCGAGGGAAGAATAAGCTGAAAGAACGAAAGTGAAAGTTAACAAGAACTTTCCCTTTTTCAGTCTAACAGCATTAACTTCTATTAACCTTCCTAACCACTGCCAAGCTCATCAACATGAGCAACCCCGCTAGTTGGGCTGGATTTTATCAGCACCAAAGGTAATTCGTCAGCACATCCAGGCTACCTCTGAGGTTTTCCTCAGTGTGGCAATGAGGGGGCAAGGAGGAAGCACCCATGCACATTCTGGTTCTGTCTCCCCATGTGGTCAGGATTTGGCCAAAGCACACACCTCACCCAGGAACAAGGACATGCTGCTAGGAATTTTTGCGTGGATGCAGATTACGCGCGGATGAGCGAGGAAGCCGCAGTACGCTCACGGGGAAATGTGTGTGGGAAGAGGTTTAGTAGCCGTGCTGAAGAGCCGCTCATATTTCAGAGAGACAGGCCAAGGTTTTAAGTGGAGCCTGCACTTAATGCAGGTTAGCTCATACAGAAGTATAGATGTTTTTGTAGAGCTGGGTTTTAGGGGACGTGGACTCCAGGCTCTTTGGCCACATTTGTGAACAAGCTACTGCTTCTATCGTTTAAGGTGCTCTGTCACCCAGTACGATTTTCAGCACGAAGTTAGGCACCTGAAGATGACATCCATAAGCAGAGCTGTCTCAAGGCACAGCCGAAACAGGCAGATGTCTGGGTTAGAGCTTGCTGCGGAACAGCTGACCCCCTCCCGTCTCTTTTCACCTGCCTGCGCCCTCCCAGAGTTTCACGGAATACGGCTGGCCCTCTGCTTGCACTGCTAGGTTTAACTTTGCATTTCTGTGGCAATGAAACTCAGCTTCGCCTGGCAGCTGGGAATCCGCAAGCTGGCTCTGGAGAGAGGTCAGGCCAGCTCAGGAACGGGTCTGCTCAGCATCAGCGCTGGTGCGAGGAGGAGGACTATGTGTCCAGGGACAGGAGTGGAGAGAGGACATGGCCTGGAACAGGACCTTTTGGTAGTAATTAGATCCACTCAAATCAAAGTTAAACTTCAGCTATAGACCCTTGCTGGTCTCTACCTGGAAGCACTCAGGAGTTAGAGAAGGACTTACAAAATTATTTGAGGCTAGGCTGAGTAAATGGCTGAGGCTCCTAAAGTTTTAGGCAGCACTTTGGCTCCTCAGTGCAAGACTGCAACTCTGAAAAGACTTGATACTTTGTTCCCTGAATGGGTGAGTGCCCAAACTTCAGGCATATATTACTTTTTCACTTCAGCATTTTTCAGTGGCCTCTAGTCATGCTCCTCTGGGGTCTCCTTCTTTCCTAATGGGATGGGCAGGGATTTCTCACTCACTATCTGGTAGTAGTCTGGGATTCCCACAGAAGCGAAATCCCTGACCTGGTGATGGGAGAAGTGCCTCCTTCCTTAGAGAAGACATCCTTGCCTGAGGTGCAGAAAACCTGCTGGTAGAAATGATGGCCTCGTATAGTGACTCATGCTGTTAAAACACTATTAAATGCCAAGAGCTGCCTTGATCCAACCTGTGGTCTGAAATCCTTATGGCACACATTTCCCATGTCTGAATTGTGTATATTATAGAGAAGACATGTAGAGGAAGAAGAAAGAAACAAAAAAAAAACTAGTAACGGGTTGTTTAATCACATAATCACAGAATCACAGAAGGGCAGGGGTTGGAAGGGACCTCTGTGGGTCATCTAGTCCAACACCCCTGTCAAAGCAGGGTCACCTACAGCAGGCTGCAGAGGACCTTGTCCAGGAGGGTCTTGAATATCTCCAGAGAAGGAGACTCCACAACCTCTCTGGGCAGCCTGTTCCAGTTCTCTGTCACCCTCAGAGGGAAGAAGTTCTTCCTCATGTTCAGATGGAACTTCCTGTGCTTCAGTTTGTGCCCATTGCCCCTTGTCCTGTCGCTGGGCACCACTGAAAAGAGCTTGGCCCCATCCTCCTGACACCCACCCTTCAGATATTTATAGGCATTTGTAAGGTCCCCTCTCAGCCTTCATCTGAGAAAAAAGCTGTCTAACATACACTAACTCTTCTCCAGTCCATTCAAATGCATTTGATGTTGTGTAAGAGCATAGCATAGAACTTGCCTTTCCTTGTGGAAAGGCCTAAATTGAGAGCTGCTTATGCCTGAAATTTAACAGTGTGAACACAAACTTTAGGTTAGTGCTAGAATCTGTGATTCTTACTTGGGTTTATATACATGTTTGTGTATATATATGTATGTATCAGTTGTTTACAAAAAAAAGAAAAAAAGGTAAGGGAAGAAGAGCAGAACAAATCCTGGATTTCACAGAAGTGTCAGCCTTCCGGTGTATCTACCACACCTCCCAGTTTGGTGTCGTCAGCAAACTTGCTGAGGGTACATTCTAACTGTTCATCCAGGTCGTTGATGAAGAAGTTAAACAAGGCTGGGCCCAGTACTGACCCCTGAGGGACACCACTAGTTACCAGCCTCCAACTCGACTCAGCACCGCTGATGACAACCCTCTGAGTTCTGCCTTTCAGCCAGTTCTCAATCCACTTCACCGACCACTCATCCAGCCCACACTTACTGAGCTTCCCTAGGAGGGTATTATGGGAGACTGTGTCAAAAGCCTTGCTGAAGTCTAGGTAGACAACATCTGCGGCTCTCCCTTCATCTACCCAGCCAGTCATGTCATCGTAGAAAGCTATCAGACTGGTAAGTTAAAACAGCCTTTTAAGTTGAAACAGTCTTTGCCATCCTGTAGTCTAGTATGGGGCCGATTGCTCTCGTAGCCAGTAGAGTCATCCATGGACTACTGTGGTTGCCCAAGGTCATCCTGACACACCTGATGACCTCTTGTCTCCATGCAACCAATTGTAAGACACTCAAATTAATATATCAGTTTCTATCCAGTAATAAAATATCACATATATCCAATTACACAACATGTGAACGTGACTGGCAATGTCCTATCACACACGCCCAAGCAGTTTATAGTACAGTTAGTCAGAGGAAAGTTGAAAGTGAAGAAAAAGGAACATTTCCAAGCAGAGGAGGAAATGGGCAGGACAAGATGAGCAAGAAAAAAGGCCTAATATTTCTTCCCCCACCCCAGACATACGTATATAAATAGTGAGAGAGTGGTTCTCCCTGCTTGCTGGCTACCGCTCGTTTGCTGCATCTCTCTGGGACCACGCATCATCTCTCCAAGATGTGGGCAAAGGTACTGTCTTTCTTTGAACTGTAAGATGCACTTTTCTGTTTAAGATTTTGTATCCTCTGTACGTTTCGGTAGGTGTACATCACACCAAGGGATATGTGGTATACCTGCTTTAAATGACTTGTGTTCCTCAAGATGGCCTTAATGCTTTAGTACAAAGCTGAGTGAGAACTTGTCTGAAATAATGGGTACAATTCTGGTCACCACTGCCAGATAATAGAAATCCAATGTGAACAGCACAATGAAAAGTTTCTAGCCTAGTATAGGGGTGAGTCTGCAATATAAAGGAGAAAGCAGCACAGTTTGGTTTGTTTAACTTGGCAACATGAAGGCCAAGAGGAAATATCATCACTCTGTGTGGGTGTGTGCAGGGGAGTAGAGGAAGGAGAAGGGTGAGGGGAAATGGAAGGAGACAATTTCCAGAGAGAGAGAAGAGCTATATTCGGTAATGCCAGTATCAAAAAATGCAAGCATGTGTATAAACTGGTTGTAAATAATATACATCTCTACAGGGGGAAGCTTCTAATGGCCAGAGAAGGGAAGTTCTGGATTAGTTTCTAATAGATATTAACAGCAGCTAACAGCTCCAGCCAAGAAGCAGGCTGAATTTGCACAATGGGTCAACGCTCAATAGGATAGAAAAAAAAAATTAGAAATATAATTCCCACATCAGAATGAGCCAGGAACAAGGAGCCACTGCTTTTCAAAGAGGCGAGATCTTGTCTTGGGAGAAAAACTGGGAGTCCATCTGAGTGTGAATGCAGTGGGAGCTGGGAGCTAGGAGCAACGGGTGCAAGGTAGAGCTGCCAAGTCCTGTCTCCCACTGAGCTCCAAGCTCAGCAAGATTTGGGATAGTAATTATGCTACTCAGGGACATTAAATCTTGCCTCCTTGTGTGGTAGTGGCTGCACTGGATTGAAATGCCACTTTCCCACTGATTTCAATACCAATATGAAGGTGCTATGGAAAGCCAGATGCTTTTTGCTTCTGTTTGTTTTATATATGTGTGCATGTGTATAGAGATAGAGAGATAGAGGTAGAGACAGAGACAGAGACAGAGACAGAGATGGAGATACCTTGCACAGTTACATCACCTGCAGTGCTTACCCTCAAGGACTCAAGTCAGGGAGGAAGAAACAGAAATACAGAACAGACAAGGACACTCATGAAAGTAGAAATAAAATATAAACAACACTATGGCATTTCTGGGAACACAAAGAGGAAGAATTCAAACCTTAGTTTTGCTGATGCAATCCATGTAAACAAGGGCAGGGCAACAGAGATCACCAGCATGCTAAGCAGTAGCCCGAAACTGAAAGGAAAAAAAGAAAGAAAAGAAGATGTGTTTTCTTTAACTTCTTCTTTTGTTCTTCTTCCTCCCAGACAATTACGGAAAATTTTGCAAACGTGATTCATGGCTTGAATGCAAACCACTTGACAGACCAAGTCATTCAGAGAAGTAAGCGAATGATTCTGGACACTCTCGGAGTGGGGCTTCTGGGTACCAGCACCGAGGTCTGCCACAAAGTGACACAGTACAGCAAGGTAAGGTGTCTGGCATTCATAGCACACCCTAAGGTATAGCTTTAAGAAAAGCAAGGGAAAATTTGAGCTATAAAGGGAGACTTTGTCATGGTGAAATTCTTTTGGGGATGGAAAAAGAGAAACAACGTTCTCCCCACTGGAGACAGGGAAACTTCATTGCTGGAGTTACTTTTAACTCTGGATGGGCAAAAGCCAGTGTAACAGACTGTATGCTAACATGCCCCACTGCAAACACAAGATAATTAAGAATCCCTTCCTTTCTTTCACCTAGGAGATTTTATGAAAAACATCATCAAAGTAAACATCACTTATCACCAGACTTTCAAAAATAAGGGACTGTCATAGGGATCGAGAGTTAGTAGTGGGTTACTTCCAGTCCATAAAACATAATCGTTATCTGAGGTACATTTATTTAATTCTGTAATGATCTCTTAATTGGCTAGAAGACCTGCACAACAAAAGGAAAGGAACAGCACCCTTTAAAGTGTGGGGATACCCGCACCAGGAGGCCATATATCATTTACTCGGGGTCTTCCTAAAACATAGAAAACCAGAACCTTTAACTGGAGATCTTCACCAACAAGATGCTGACAGTCCTGATGGAACCACCGAAGGGCGGTGGGAAGGGACGTCCATGGCCAGAGGTTGTGTGAAGGTACTGAATGGCCAGGTGGATGGTCTTGGTCTGCCCTCTGAGGTCTGTTTGAGTGGGAAGGGACATAAGCCAACAGGAAACCAAGTTTCTTTTCATACTTTCTGAAAGAACAATATTCTTCTCATGAAAGGGAACAGTTGGGTCCCGAGAGGGTATGGTCTGATCGTGGTTACATCAGAGATATGGCACACATTTATCCTTGGGTTCAGGACTTTGAATTAATTGATGTCAATTTGTTTCAGATCTACAGCTCAGATATATCCAGTACCATCTGGGGCCACTTGGATTTCCGACTGCCTCCTCTGTATGCAGCTTTTGTGAATGGAGTGGCTGTAAGGGATGCTCTTTTATTTGCTCTTAAATCACACTAATTGATGCCATTCTTGCTCTAGAGAGAACAGAATGCTCCTAAAATCTTACTTTATTCCTCTGCCTGAAGTCTGCTAGAAAACTTTCCCTGACTGTTCTCCTAATGTGCTTCAACTTTCTTCCAAGGAGACCGAGCTCAAGGTATAATATATATCTGATCCAACTCAACAGCATCCCTTACCTTTAATGTGGGACTTGGGGCTGTTTTCAAAGGTCAGAACTGTACAGCTTGTTACAACCTTGCTACAGCTGCATTACAAAGAGGTGCTCCAGCTATCATTCATTTCACTGGGATGCAAATTTCATGCCAACTGGCAAAGTATAGTTACAGAAAAACACAAACACAGACAGATGCACATATACATACACACATACAATACCACCAGGCCATTTAATCTTCAGTTACGCAGTCTGCAAAAGTCAGTTATACATTTTGGACACATACTTTGTCATTAAAGCAATAACTGACTCCCCAGACATTTGTCTAAATTCAGATTGAGGCTGAAACCATTTGAAATCAAAAGAGGCACAAGAGGTGGGGCAGACAAATTTGGCGATTATGCAAAACTAGAGAAGGTGACCAACGAAGGAAATGGTACTATTAAGCCTATCTGAATTAGTGTGACAACAAGATCTGAGGTCAAATTTGACACCTCATTTCCAACGTAGAAAAAATTACTGTGGAAATGAGATCTGGTACCTCTCAGCTCCTAGCAGCCCATGTGACGATACTCAAAGCTGGCTGTTAGCACGTATGCGATCGTTTCAGTTTCCATCTCGGTCACAGGTCAATTTTAAGCAGTTATTGAAGATGCCAGGAAGGCAACTTACCAGGTATTGGGCACAACTTTCCTTATCCCACACTGCAGGTCATCTTCCCAGCTGGCATCAGAGTTCTTCAAGGCAGGCACTGGATTTTCTTCTGCCTGTTCAGAAACACTACATTGCAAACATTGAGTGCACTGCTCAGAGCAGTCTGCTACCAGAACAGCAGCCGTATGCCATGCTGGGAACGCCCAAAACCTTCCCCAGCAGTTGGGCTCTGGGCATGGGAAAGAGGAGGGACCTCTCTGGATACTCTCAAGGGCTGAGCAGCCAGTCCCGGTTTTAAGACTGTAGCATTCTCCTATTCCCAGCAACCCCAGGGAGTCTGGTTCCTCATGTGACAGGTCTTGTTTTGTCATGCTGAAAATCCAGGCTAAAGGCTGGTCTAAATTTGCAGGCTTGCGCCTGTTGCCGTGTGGATGGTTGCAGCAGAGAAGTCGTTCTGATACAACTCCCAGTTAGCAGTATGGAGTTGACTGCTAGAGCTTTAATGGTGTGAATCTTAACGGCAGCATCAACTGCAGCACAGGGAAAGTAATTTCATTACGTTTATATACTGTTCTGGGGGAAGTGAAAACTCATCACTCACATGGTGGACCTAGAACTGCTACTTTAATTATACCAGTTTAGTTAAAGCAGCAAAAGTCTATTGTGGGAAAGAAGAATCATTGCCATACTGGTTTTAGACTGGTGCAACTTGAATTAGAAATACACTTCCTCGAGGCAGGATTTGTATTGCATTGCCATTTCTCACTGAGCCGTGTTGGGAGTAAAGGTCTTAAAAGAAAGACTTCTGAAGTTTTGGCTTCTAAGGAAAATCTAGTTCTTCAGTCCTGTTTTATACCGATGACAGCTGTTTCATTTGACTGAGCCAGTCTTGCCAAGACAAAGTTGATTTCTGATGACAAGCCAAGGCTTCTCTTTCCATTAGGTGCACTCCATGGATTTTGACGACACGTGGCACCCAGCCACACATCCATCCGGGGCTGTGCTCCCCGCCGTGATTGCACTCTCGGAGGCCTTTCCTCAGAAGAAAAAAATCTCGGGTCTTGATCTGCTCTTAGCTTTCAACGTGGGAATCGAAGTGCAAGGCAGGCTGCTGCGCTTCTCCAGTGAAGCCAGGAACATTCCAAAAAGGTACATAGAGATGCTTCAAGTAGAAAGTTAAGTGGAAGGGGTGTTTTGGAGTTAATATGCTTAATTAAATGCGAGATAAAACACAAATGGCACAGTTAATAATATTTTCTGTGTTGTTTGCCTGGAAAACTAGGAAAGGTTGATCTTAAACATGAATACACTTACATGACTCCTTACGACTTAGCTAAGAGATTTCTTTACAAGAGCATCGATCAGTCTACAAGAAGGCAGTGATGATCTTGCTATTAATTAAAAACAGCAGCAAAATGGCAATGTTTAACAACACAGCTCTAAGGTTCTCATGAATACATACGACCATGCCTCGCAAACAGTGGCTTGCTCTCAGCAGAACAGTCACTGGTGCCAGGCTCAGAGCAGAGCCCAAGAAGATGGGGTGTGCTTAGGGGAAAGCCTTGAAGTGTGGGATGGACTAGACGTCTTCCTGCTATTTTCTGTATGTTCCTCCTGCCAATTTTGTGAAATTGGCTCAGAATAACAAAACTTGCCTCCCCCAATACGTATTATTTGTAGATGACTATAAATTGTTTACAGATAACTTACAGATGACTATAAACTGTGATGCTTTTGCCTTGAACTATGAGCAGTTCGAACATTTCTGTTGCTTTCTGGGGAAGACCTACAGTGGTACTATTCCAGCTTAACTTGTTTCTGGGAAAAAGTGACAACTTTTTCCATTAGGACCACACATGAACGCTGAATGTGTGTTTCTTTATGGCCCAATCCATCTTCCACAGCAGCAAAAGGAAATTGGAGCTTATGCATATAGAGAATTTGGATGACTTTTTGAAATATGGTAATGGAGAGATTTTGTTTTCTCAGGTTTCACCCACCGACTGTGGTTGGTACAATGGGGAGTGCAGCAGCTTGTGCTAAACTGCTTGCTCTTGACCAGCTGAAATGTAAAAACGCCTTGGCTATCGCTGCCTCCTACGCAGGTGCCCCACTGGCTAATGCAGCCACCCAAACAAAGCCCCTCCACGTCGGCAATGCTGCCAAGCATGGACTCGAAGCAGCTTGCTTAGCATCACAGGGCCTTCAAGGAAACAAACAGATCTTGGACATGGAGTCGGGGATAGGTGCCTTTTACACAGATTACAACCCACAGACTCTGCCAACCTTGCAGTCCTACCCCTGGCTATTGGACCAACAAGATGTGGCCATCAAACGCTTTCCTGCTCATCTCGGAACGCACTGGGTGGCTGATGCAGCATCTTCTGTCAGGAAGAAGCTTGTAGAGAGCAGCGACAACTTGCTCCCCCTTGAGAAAATCGAGAAAGTCATTCTCAAAGTCCCAGAGGTCAAATACGTGAACAGACCCAGCCCCACTTCAGAGCATGAAGCTCGACACTCCTTCCAGTTCGTTGCATGCTCTGCTTTGCTGGATGGCAGCGTGTCGGTCCAGTCCTTCGCCGGTGAGAACATCCACCGGCCAGCCTTACAGGAGCTCCTCCGCAAAACACAGCTGGAGCACCCTCCCGACAACACACCGAGCTTCGAGAGTCTTTACTGCGAAGTGAGCGTCACGCTGCGGGATGGCAACACGGTCAGCGACCGCTGCGATACGTTCTACGGACACTGGAGGAAACCTCTGAAAAAGGAGGACTTGGAGAAAAAGTTTCAATCCAACGCCTCCAGCGTCCTGCCCGCAGAAGCCCTAGAAGGCGTTACAGAGACCGTGTACAATCTGGAAAAAGTAGGCGACTGTTCTGTATTAAGTACATTTTTATCGGGACAGTCAGCTAGAGGACTGTCGGAGAAGCAGCGGTTCCTCTGAATGTTCCAACCCACAGCTAGACGCTGCTCACAAAGCAAACACAAAATTCAGGACAAACTATTTATTTAATGACTCGAGCACTTTTAAATTGGACCCCTGGAACACAAGAGCCACGCTCAGTCCAATATTGTGTTTTTTGGCAAAGTAAATAATTTAGTGACTACGTGCACACATCAGGCTGAACAGAAGATCCTCTGCTGGCACAGCCGACTCCAATTATCTTTATGACTCTAGAGGCAGAGCACTGCTTGCGTGCGACACAACAATCTCCCTGCTCTCCTGCCAAAAAATAAAAAAGACTGCGTATGCTCTGCTTCTGCTAAATAATTCCATAAAGGAAATCCAGATTCTGGAGGAGTGCGGGAAATGCTGTCTCTATCAGAAACATCACTGCGAGGAGGACAGAGAGGAAAAGCCTTTCTATATTTATTTCTGAAGATCTAGCTCTAAAGCCTCCTGCCACGTCCGAGCTTTGACGTCTGTGCTAAAATAAACATGGCTTCTGTACAGAGGGGCAGCACTCGGCACCCTGCGACACGTCAGGCCTCGCGGAGACGATCGTCTGGCGTTGGCAAGGTGAAGGTTAGCGCCCTTCCCGATCACGCCGGCTGCTGGGCCAGAGGGACGGCCCAGCACTCCTCCTCACAAAAGCCTTCTTTCCCAGTGTACAGCCCCAGGCTGGGGAGGACAGTAGTCACAAACATCCCCAGGCTGGAGTGGGCAATTGCCTCAAACATCCATCTTGGGAGAAACTGATAAAGATGCTCGAATTTATCAAACTCCTAAATCGCACATTGTGCCTTGGGAACTTCATCTTGATAACGGAGTGTGGAATACTGAGCAAAACCCTGTGGAGGCAGGGCGTCAGCTTGTGAAGCCCACCTATGTCACCTATGCAAGGAAGTTGAGCACTTGCCTTTGGGGGAGGAATGTGAGACCCCCAAAACCCTCCCCACCCCCCATGCCCACTGACTCCTTGAGAACTTTCGGGAAGCTATGCGACAGGCAGCCGAAGGGTCTAAAAGGAGAGGGGGGCAGCCC